CGTCACTGGAAAAATCATTGGATAAGTATCTGGGTAGAGGTTGCCGCCGACCGTCGCTCTTGGGCAGCTGCAAGCCGGGATACTTATGAAGCCGAATCATCTTGTCGCAAGAGCTGGCCGCAGTAGAGTAAAGTAAGCACACTCACAAACCCACAGTGGGAAGCCAAAATCCTGTCGTAGTCTGTCACAGATCGTTGAGGCATTTAGCTCAGTTCGGCTGATCAACCGGTGCACCGAAGTGCAGGGAACCTTAACTCACATCGTCCAAATAAGTGATGATTTTATAAAAACACACAGGCCTTACAAGTGCGAGAACTAACACCTTGGAGGACTAACACCAACGAAGGCGGCACAGATATCTGGATAGGCGAATCAATCGACCAATGCGAGTGAGTGTAATGATGGTGGAAACAGATGGTACGTCAACCCAGTCGAACAACGGCACACTGATTTGTAAAGGTGCGAATCCCTCTGTCAATTTATCTGGAAGGGACTGCAAGAATCTCGGTCTGAATCCAATACCGACATACACTCTGAGTATGCTAAGTTTGACCATTGAATGCCCAAAAGAACCAGTAAAAATAATAATATAATGTGTCAGATGTACGCCGTAACGGCGCTTCGCTGTCGCGCGACCACCACCAGTCGCGCACGGGCTGAGTAGACGGCGAGGACGCCCACCCCAGTACTATTGCAGAAATAGAATGAGTGGAGTCTCGCATGAGGGATTGCGTAAAGAAGTAAGGATAAGAAAGATTGATGGATCCCACGTGTCATTGCGAACCCGGAAGACAGGGTCCCGCAGAATTCCAGGTTGCGGTTGGGGGAAAGAATGGAATATATCTGGAGCAACAGGTAAGAGTAACAGGTGTAATATCGACATTAGGCTTAGAATAACGACCGTAACAGCTTCCTCGCATACATGGTATTGAGCACTGAATAATAAAAATGTAAATCCAGAAGATAAAAATCTATGTTGCTCCACCGAAATATTATCCGGCTGACCCGCGGAATACCGTCACCTATTGCCGCGCATTGTCAGCAGATTACAGTTTTACAACGTCCTAATCAGGTATAATGCGCTCCCAAAGTTTAGTACGCGCAAAGTGTGTCTAGGAATTTTTTGAACTCCAACACCAAGTTCGCCCGGATTATGGTAACTGGCGAACTGTTCCAATATATCCCTACTCGACACTCAAAACATAGAATATGAGCTGTGCTTCAGATACGGTACTATAACCTTGTACTGGCACCCGCGTGTACTGCTTGGTGCGCGCATGTTTCAACGGCCTTAGCATAGGTATGCCAAGCAGATGTACTATCCGGTGTGTCAGTACGAAGTCCATTTGCGACAAACAATACGCCAGGCTGTACAGCCCGTCTCATGCATTCGTGAGACATACCCTGCAAAGTGGGGATGATCGTGTTACCAACGCATTGGACACGTTCGATCTACTGAACCTCGCCCCAAGTGACCGAACAACTGGAGATTGAGTCGTACTCGAGCAATAGTATTATAATTAAGGAGAAGAGACAAGTGGCTGTCTAGTCAAACTAAGGACAGAAATTGCGTTTGATCGCCCAAAACATGCGCAGTCCGTTCTCACTTTGCCTGTTCGTGTTCACGGACTTTAAATCGCAGCGTGAGAGTACGCCTATGTCCTTCATAGAAGGTGTGGAATGTAGCGCCAATCACTACTCTTCCATAGGCACATAAATAACGACTTGACTGGGTTGGTCGGGAGATCAACATCTGCAGACCATGTGGACAGGCGATCGAGTTCATGATGAAGTACGCTGTAGCTATCGTGACTACCAATTACTCTTCATATCGTCTGCAAACAAGGCATGTGGATTAAAAAGAAAATTGACCCTAGTAATGTGCCTGGGGGTATGCCACCGGTGAAAGAATACCAGCTGATAAGATGATCAACCAACTGAACCCTAAAGCTTCTCCTGATATGGAAATTGCTGATCCACTGGTACAGTGAGTCACCAACACGCACATCCTCAGCCTATATAGGATGAGCTCATGGTTCACCTAGTCGAGCGCTTTGTTGAAATCAAAGTAGATAACGTCAACTGATTGATCCAGGTTCAGTGCTTGCAATTATTGATGTCGTGTCACTACCTGGTCGTTCGACTCTAGCAGCTGCAGCAAACTCTTCTTCTCAAGTACCTTGGCCGAAACCGAAGTCAAACAGATCGACTTCATCATCCAGCATTTGCAGTCGCTCGGCGATGAATCTTCTGACAGCGATCTGTTGAACATGTCAGTCATAGAAGGCGAGATGATAGCCGATAACGGCCTGAGAATTAGCGGGTGGGACATATCAGGACAGGCACGTTGAGCCAGAACATGGTGTGGCGTAGGTACACGAATAATGCGCCGTCTGTCTGCAATGAGCTCACCTTCGTAAGGAACAGTGAGTCGTCGCAGTACGACAGGTATTGGGGTTTTGTACCAAGACTGATGCTTCAGGGATTTTAATATAGCATCTTTCGACCATTTTAAAGGTGCGAATGACAGTCGACAATTCCCGGCCTGAGGGTATAATCTAAGCGCACCATATAGTGTTGAATAGAGTGGCTAAGCCAACAACAACAGCAACAATAGGCGATGAGACCTGAGTCCACCATCACAATCAACTTCGACCGCGACACGCGGAATCTCTCCCCCTCCCCTCCCCACGCCAGCCAGTTTTTCTGTGCACCTCCGCTGCACATCTTGTTGGATACGTACGGAATTGCAACAGAACGTAAGAGGCCGGTCGAAACCGCCCAATCGCCGCAACGTCTCGATAACCCGCCTTACCGACGAAGGAGAACAATCCGATTACCGAAACAACTCCAGGTCAATCCTCGTTAAAAGCGGTACACCCTACCTTCAGGGGGGGTGTTATAGGAATGTTAAGTGATTCCGCAAAAATACGCAAATGCGCCTCGGACTCCAATACACGGACTACGCCACGCGGCGTCCATTTCCAACGCACAACGCAGCAGCCTCTAAGCCCGTCCAAGTCAGTGCCCAGCAGGGACGAAGTGAAAATGGTCTTTTGTAAACCACAAGCTCGGCGTGGTGATTAATTTTTCCCACAAAACGAACCGCTGTGCTAAGCTTGTTCGGCCTTTGTGGGTCGTAAAAGAACTCCCAAGGATCCGCCTTGCATCTGTCGTTTATCTTGTGCGGCTGGTAGGGACTTACGTGGGTCATGTGGTCGTGCGTCAGTCTAATGGGCCGGCTTCGCGTACTTCGTAAGTGAAACTAGTTTCTCGGGGAGCGTTCATCGATTCGTCTGGTTTCGCGGGCACAGTAGGTTAGCCGAATCGCGCGTTGACTAGGAACCGTGCAACAAGCGTCACGTGCAAATTTGTGGCTAAGCTACTGCTTCCAAGAGAAGTTTAGTACACATTGCTAATTGGTTTTAACCATAGACTGGTAACAGCTGAGTTGCAGGTTCTAGCCACACAGAGGTCAGATGGAATGCGCACTGCTGACGAGTAACGGGTGAATGAAACGGCCGTCAAGTGCATTCCCGAACGTGTGTGTCTGGCTGAGTCCAGATGTGACGAAAGTTTGTTTATACCTTTGATCAATCATTGGTTAGTGCATTTTTGACCTTGTATTGCAGTGGGTCCAACAGGCAGGAGCAATATAGGCGCAAGTAGCCGTATGATCGGCACCAATGGAGTCAGATGTGTCCCATTAATCATGGTTTCGGACAGCGCATCAAACAGTTCGCATGAGCCCAATACTGAAATCTAAGATCACGGCTACCAGTTGTTTGGACCTTCTAGTTCTCGGGACAGAGTCTTAGGCCGCACAAGGCTAGTCGGTGCTGACTTAGCTCTGTACCGCACGAGGTGATTAGGCTTGTGTGGCGCACGTCACAGCCACCGTCAACAGTCCAGTTTTGTCCGCTGTCGAAGCGTGGCACATCGGTTAAGCTAAGCGAGTAAGCACGTTTGTTTAATCGCTAGCAGTTAGACCACGGTGTGACCGAAGACAGGAAGAAGCTAACTGCTACAGAGTAATGAGGCCACGTTACATATACTTTTCTTGAAGACATGTTTTGTCGCAATATGATTACGGCAACACGTAAAAGTACACTAGATGCATGCAACGTTGCCAATATAACAAAGTGGACGGAGGGAATTTAGGGAGCGATCATCATTCTGAGGCGGTGGAAGGATAACAAAGCGCTGATAACCTCGTAGCAGCATTCTTGCCGTGCAAAGTGCACTACTCAAGACTGGATGAAAATGCATATTTCGGTCAAAGTGAGGTTCTTCTAATTGTAGGTGTCGAACAAGAACGATGCCAATACATTCCCTTTGGGAACACTGGGATCCCACCAAGACGCCGCAGACCATATCGAGTAAGAAGTATTGAACAAAAGGACTGCGCAAGGATATAGAGCAGCAGATGGTTTCACATGTGAAGTGAAAAATGTTATGCCACATCCACCAACTATGGTGCTAACGAACCGGGATATATACAAATGGTACGCAAGAATTCCAAACGCTTCAGATTTGTTATTCATCGCACCAGACCCGATTTCGGCTCTGGATCAACCGATTTAATCCTTATAGCGAACGAGCTAAATGGATTGTTAGGTTAACATAAGTTAAACTCCACCAGATGAGATGTACTTTACGGTGTCACATTTACAGAAATCTCGCGTTTCGAACCAGCTTAACCGTGTCTGTGGAACTACTAAGAAATGAGTCGTAACAAATATTACAAGGAATTAAAATTACGACCAAATTCCTTGAAGATAGTAGCACAGGAAGTTATTAACAATGCCTCGAGTGTATGTTCAAAGGCGATATGCTTCTCGCTTCCCAAAACTGTATCGAGAAGTTCGGAGCATTGTGTCATAAAAAAGCGCATGCGTAGCAGAGATCACCAAACAGATGGACGACGAGACATTTCACAAATTTGAACGCGAGAAGAAAACGTGAATAGTAACCGCAAGTGCGCATATGGGAAGACTGACCTTCGATGATAGAGTTGTGGAATCGCCTGAACACACTGGCTGAGAATAGCAAAGTTGGGATCGAGACAATCCAAAGAGGCTAGGAGGAAAATGTATGAAGTTACTGCGTCGGTGACCAACACTATCATCGTCGTCATATGTTGCTGCCGCATAATGTCAAAATAAAAATAGACTTTATACACCCGGATGGATGCACTGCCAGCACTTTGTACCATCGATTAGTAATGTACCAAAATAGCAATGGAAGAATTCCATAACTGTATAAACGAAAAAATGGGCACTGATGTTGATCGAGTAAACGGTCCGCACAGCGCCGATGACTTTCGTTGGTATTTGCTTTCTACGGCCTTTTTGACAGCCTTTGAGCTGCAATCACTTGGAACGCATAACGAAGCAATGTAAACACTATGTCGTCGCGCACCGCCTATTCACCTCTGCTGTAGCATTAGAATCGTTTCGAACACAAGTGAATAGCCGCTGGGATGAATTCGATTAGACCGCGCTCAGCGTGCGCCCTGGTGCCAATTTAACTTCCAATGCATACCAACCCAGAGTAAAAAAAGAACAGAAACAAGTGTGCGGCAAGCTGAAGTTTATTGAAGACGAAGAATTGAGTCAATTGCATTGACATACACCGTTATAGCCCAAATGATCAACAGCGTTGACCTCAGGTCAACATTAGTCTGTTGATCAATGCGTTTCCCGTTTGTTTCGATTTTATCCTTTGGCACTAGCTGGTTTTGAACCTTTGACATTAGCTTGCTTTTACAAGTGGTCGCGAGCTTGGTTGATCTGTGCTCCGGGAAACGCATGTTCCTAGCAGACTTGTTTCCAGGAAAGACGTGAAAAATAAGAGCAACCGCGACTGGAAGATGAAGCACGCAGTCGGAGTTGCGTTACGACGTTGAGGCCTTCAATTTGCGTTTCGGAGACACGACACATGGCAGTCACAAAAGAGCTGCCAGTTGCGAAGATTCAAGAACTTTAGCTGAAATGGGGCCCTTGGATTGAAGGATGAGTAGGGGACGTGGTTAAAATCAAATGGGAAGTAACGGATGGTCGTACTTTGTTTGACCAATAAGAAAAGTTGTAAAGGATGAGAAACATTATAAAGAACCATGCTTGTTTATACACCCAAACGGATACGATAGCTGTCCATGGGACTCTAGATTAGGATGATTTAATAGAAAATATAACACTACGATCGTAAGGAAAGTCTACACCCCGGTGCAGTGGTGGATAAAAACGCACTGAGTGTAGAGTAAAGGAGCAAAATGCGATCGCAGTCCACCAATACATGTATTGTAGGAAATGGAAAAAGATGTATAAAAGCAATTAGCTGCACGGAGTGAATAAGGGGCAAATAGCGGAATAGCGGTTCACTTCATTCACTGCAACAAAATCAAAAAACCGCAATGAGTTGAGTTGCCGTGGCGTATCTCTCTATGGAAGAAGTCGGGAAATCATAGGAACAAGGATAGCCAAAGGAAAGTCATGCATCGAAAATGGCTGGAAAATAATGTGGATGCGTTGGACTGAATGAATAGTTTATAAGAGTAGGAAATAGAGCGTATAAGTCAATGAACACTTCCCGATATAACAACCGGTATGGCGTATAACCAAAGGTGTGATTGGTCGGATAATCGTATCAAGCGGAACGAGAGGACAGTGGATTTTCCAACCGCGTTTACGCTCCAGTGGGAAAAGAATCACGTAGTGGAATATCGCTCCGACAACACGGTCTTAGAAGTTGGCGATGGAGTGGAAGTTCTGCTGCTTAGTGAAGATTTCACAAAGTCAGAGTACGCGGACGGCGTAGCGCCTCTTGAGCTGGATACATCCTTCATACAATAACTTTCGGAGACTGGTAACAACCGCTGCATTCACTTGTATTTCTTTCGCATCTTCAAGCTGCACTACTTTTATAGCAATGGATGGTCAAACCGCCGGTTCTGTGTCATCAGAAATCCATTGTTTAAAGCGGATGGTCGTTTCACTTACATAGTCGGCTGCATCACCACTGGCGGGAAAGACACCGAGGAAGTTACTGCACGTGTCGGCAATGATCGCATGGTTTCTCAAAGTCCCAAACATCTAGGGAGATAGTAGAATATCAGTCTGTCAGTCAGGGGTAGAATCTAAAATGGTGCAATGCAGCCGACGTTGTTGTATGGATCCGAAACACGGCCAATTCGTAATAAAGACATCGGGAAACTGGCCGAACTTAAGTATTGGTGCTTAAGTAGCGTTGAGCATATCGGGGGGAGGGTAAACCGAGTAGCACGGAAGTCCGTCAGCGGATGGACCTACTGAAAGATCACGTAATACCGAAACTAGCGTTTGAGTTGACCGTTAGCAATAAACAACGAAACACCTTAGGCAGCATGGACCGTGGGATGATACGATGCCGGCTTCGCATTCCCAACGACACAACCATAGCATATCTCCATTCTGGGAAAGATAAAACAGGACTTGGAGTTCCGCTGGTGAATTCCCTAGATGAGTGGTTCAGGCAGTTGGTTCACAATGAATCATCTACTGTGGACCTGCGTAGCACTAACCTGCTTGTAAGGTTAAGAAAGTGATCCATTTAAAAGCGGAACTCCTTGATGCTTGGCTTCAGTCGTTTGTGGGCTCGTCGGACTACCGTTCAGTCCATCCACAGCTACAAGACCACAAAGCAATTTATGGCTCAAACACCATGGGTTTGTATTCCTGCGGCTATATGTAAGGGCTATAACGTTTAGGGGTGGTGTTCTGTTTACAACTGTCCACGCTATGCGATGCGAATCGCGAGTGTCTGCAGCCAGAGCGAAGCTTTTGGTCACATACGGCAGCAATGTGATGTCACACCTAATGCCCGGTGTTGCCGCCAAAATCGAATCGGCTCGATCAATTTGTGCGGCTGTGCGGATCTCGCACCCTCATTACACCAATTATCCCTACGGATTCGGGGCAATGTTAACAGGATTCAGTCATGCTTAAGGGTCAATGCCTACCTGTGATTAGTTGACCTGCGTATGGAACGAAAAGTTCGCCAAGCATGACACCGTTGGTATTGGTGCTTTCGGTCGAAAGGCGATGGTGGATGGCCGCAAAGTTCGAGAGGATCACCCGGTTCTTCACTTGGCCCTTGTCATGCAGGAACGCGAACACATATTCAAGAAATCCACATCTGGCCTGCGACTCACGAGCTTGAAGCCCCGGGCTATTCGGAGCTCCCTAGGTCATATTCGAGGACTTTACTGTATGCCAATCAATGCTCCGTCTTGCCGATGCACTATGAGGCAGTATGCGGAAGCTCTCATCCGGGTGGACCTTCATTACCGATGAGCTGGCGGGGCCTTTAAATCACCCGTTGTCTTTTTTCTGGAACAGCATTTTAAACTATCTACTGCAGACACATCAGTTTTGCAAGAATAAGCTGACAGATATTTTGTACAAATAATTTCCATGGTCATTGAGATCAAGCTACCCTACCCAAATTTCGAATACAACTGCCGAGATACCACGCACGAGCCCCGGTCTGTTGCATTTGGACACAAAATTTTACGTTAACGAAAACGTTATGAAGAAACATTTAATAAAATATTGCCCTTCTGATTGGATGAAAATCCCGAAGATTTAGTTCCGCATTATGCGATTGTCGCTTGATTAGGTGTCGACAGTGCACCTCATTTTGTCTACCCATTTGTAAACTTTTACATTTTTGATGACACTAATGTAGCACATTTACGGTTGATAATGCAAAATGCGGAAAACGCAGCCGTTTGAGTGCACAAAGCTTTTGTTGACTCGAATTGATTTGCAAAGGGCACTTGAGTCACCAGCGCAGATTGCGAGATGAAAGACAACTGCTTCGTTTCATGCTCCTTCATTAAATGTTTTCACTATTAACAGTTTAGTTTCATGGCTTTCCTCCGTCCATGGTGAATAGCGAAAAAGTAATTCTATTGTACGGCAAATCTTATAATGCATGCTCCCTTAACAAAACTGGACACACCACATAGGTTCACCCTGCATTTGGGTGCAGGCGATATTCCGACGACCGGTGAACATTGCTTTCTGAGTGTGTGCTGTTCTACGTATGTACCTGCTAACTTAATTGTTTCAAATATACATCTAAATGGTGTTTGCTAGCAGATCTAATAGTTACACACTGGAATATCTAATAAATTCGAAATGTCTGTGATGGTTGGGTCATGTTCTTCGAATAGTTTGCCAGCTAGCAGCTTCGGCGCCGTTACTGCGTAAATCTGAAGGAGACTACGGGGGTGGAAAATCGATTGTAAAGTAATCGACGAAATTGGCCATGTCGGTGCGTGCCGTCGTCCTGGATGAAGGCATGGAAATCAGCCATAGTAATGGTTTAAAACGGTATCCAAAATAACGTATTTACTGAGTCAATGACGCTGCCACATTCGGTTCCTCGCAAGTGACTGTTAATTCCCCAATTCGGTTGGTCTCATATGCCCCTTTTCCATTCCACACTATGGTTAACCTCGTCCGTTCATTGATTGGAAAGTAGTGTAACACTACTTTCCAATCAATGAACGGACGAGGTTAACCATAGTGTGGAATGGAAAAGGGGCATATGAGACCAAACCATGGCAACTGGATCCCCTGCACCATGGTGATAAGACCACAGCTCCAAAATGAACTATATCGCAGTGCAGAAAAATACTGTTCTAAGTGAAACAATTCCAATGTGAGAAGCACCGCTTATGCTGGTTATAAAGTGGATAAAACAATGGATAGAAGAGAATAATCACCGAACCACAAACAGCGGCGAAAAAAGACCCCAAAAACAGAAGGATTTGCGTGCTAACGGTGATTGATTCGGCATCAGCCAAGCCGAGTTGGAATTTGCTCCCTTGCTGATCGCTGCGACTTGAACGATCTATCAAATCACAGTACCACACTTATTCGACGCGACGCGCGTCATAGGTGATTGCATCGAGATATCTGGTTAAATATCACAGGGTGAACGCCAACTGACCTGAATCAGTTGAGCAAGTAGATGGACCAAGAAGCAGATGAGTAACTGTGCTATCTGATTTGCTGGGCAGGACGAGCGCCTCACATTGATTTCAATCCATTTGGGTGAGGGCACCGACAGCGCTGTGGAAGAGGAATGTAATTTAGACTTGTCCAATATGAGGGGATCAAGAGTAAGGCCAGCGAGGAGGATTTCACGGGAGTGAGTACGAAACGAGAATTCGCAGCCACAAGGCAAATGAAATGCAATTCGGACGTTGTCCATGAGAGAGAGTAAAGCTGAAAAGACCAAATGCAACACACAGGTATGTGATGATGAAATGCAACGCGTGCTGGAAACCGGAGGAGAGAAAATGTAATGTGCAATTATAGATCAGACAGAACAAGGGGATCGAACAGCTTCACACATGCTGAAACTGGATCCTTGTGACCGTCGAGTTTGGTGTTGCGATTAGTCCGGGACGCATGGACAAACAGAGAAATCGTCAGCTAGTAGAACGGGCAGTTATCAACTGACAGAGAAGCAGAAAACCAAGGATCGACTCACTGTGTGCGATTAGCGAACCTCCAAACAAATCAAACAATGCGCGGATCGTGGTCGCACTCATGGAAAAGGAGTCACTGCATACGAATAAGCCAAGTGGCGACATGTCTGAGATAGAGGGATCCTAAATTCGTGTTAAGATAGAGTTAAAACCAAGGCCGGAATAAGGTTTTCATTGTCTATACGGAAGTATGACAAAAGCCAGAGGCAAAAACGACGATGAACACACCATTAACGTGGATTGTTAAAAGGAAACCTGCTTCTCAAGCGTCGATGGCGACCAGAGTAGGAACAACAGCTGATATTGGTACAAAGAGCGACATCGAGGCAACCCAAATACGCTCGATGATAAGCGGTAACGCCGGCATTGACGGGGTGAAGCACACGAGGAAACCCAGGGTAATTCAAAAGCTCAAAGAAACCACAGATGAAGCAAACTTCATGTCGTCAGTGACAGTCGGCGATCGGTTACTTTAACACGCGGTAGACAAAAATGCAGCCGCTGATCAAGTGGCAGATCCGCCGGACTTGTGAAATGCAGGAATGCTGGTGAGAGAACCAATAGATGAGCAAGAAAACTATTTGAATCCTCCGCAGTTGGATTAGCAAAGTGGGGTGTAGCATGAAGGAGCACGATATGTGAAATTTCTTCAAAACTCAAAGTAAGCGAAGCCCAGCAGAGAAGGATCCGACGAATGTCGTTAGTGTAGGCCACTCAGTCGTCGAGCAGTGAATCTAGAAGATCGAGGCATCCAGACAAATGGCAGCCATTCGAGTTGATAACAGAGTAAAATGGGTTTAGATAAGATTAGAAATCCGTTTAAGGGGAATGGCAGAAGAAGCTAGAGGTTTACATGGTGGTGCTGTCTGCAGGATATCCGCTGCATGACCAAAATGGCAAAGCGGACTAGAGAGACTTCACTAAAAAGTAAAATGCGTATGAAAACTGGCAAGAGGTTCATATGCTGTCCTCAACGGTGCTAGTCAATAACGGAAACAGAGTGCGATTGTTGCACAATCGGTGTACAAATAAAAGTTGACATATCGATGGAAACAATAATAATAACTGGAGGAGAATATAACCACAGAGAGAGAACTCGCTTACGCATGTTGATGCATCGTAAAAACAGTGGCGTGGTAACTATTAATACCGCCAAGTGCTGTGGTAAAATTTTCGTCCTGACAAGGAGCAGGAAAGTTGCGTGAAGGCTACACAATGGGCTCAAGGTAAAGTGCACATTAGTTTTCTATGAAATGGTTGATCGTTTGGAACACCGAGGTAAGTGTGGTGTAAGTGACTACAAGAGGACAAATAACGGGATTGCTGGGAAGAACATTTTCACAGGTGACACATGGCGTAAAGGTGTCGTTGGTCATACAGAGTAACATTAAAATATTTAACTCAGCTCATTTGGAAAGTTTGCTATCTAGATAAGGTAAGGAACAAGCAACTGCCACATGCCGCCCGGGGAAGACCACCCCACCACCCTCGCTGCATCTCTGACCGCAGAGTCTGATTAGTTCGATCAAGAGCACATACGTGGGGAGCTTCAGGGACAATTTATCCGGAATTGTGTATATGCATGCGGGGTGAACTGAATATATAGCCCGAAATGGACAATAACCGTACAAGGTCAGAGAAACACTGAACTCCAGAAAAATCACCGGACACAAATGTAGCCCCGTCCGGACTCGACAGTAATGTGCAGGCCAGTGACTCACAGAAGGGCACGGAACACCGCCCGAACACTCTCAGAAAGTGGATGAAATCACGAGGGGGTGAATCGGGCCTAGAGTCGATGTATCAAGGGACACTGCATGACTCAGTGATCCAAATCATCCCCAGGGTTGACAAAAGTGCTGGCAAATGGCCAGTTAGCGCGTTGGCAACAAGGCCAAGCGTCCGTTACCAGACAACCATGGTGTAATCCGAAATATGCGACGCTTTGTCTAACGTATGCAAACGCGCATAAACGACCTCGAAGTCGTCAACATAGCTAATTCATCACCGGTGGCATGCATCAGGTTGGAAGTTGGTCTCGATAACAAAAAACCCATGAAATCACCATACATGTGGATTTCTTTAACAAAGTGTACGAGCGGCATCATATGCTTTAACCGCTCCCAGTTTCACCAGCCTGGGCCAAGTCTAAAACACAAAAGTCCGATCGCACATCAACAAGGCAAGATTTTCGAGAAACCATTCTGGGTCACAACTGAAACTGGCTTTTGATAGGAAGATAGCTGTCCCTCTAATATATTTTGCGCGGTCCAGCAATTAACATAATGGAGCAACAAAAGATGGCACCGCTTAGGAAAAGAGTGAATAGTTAGAGGAGAAGACACTCTGTGACTGTGGTTGATTATGGTAGGAATCATCTGTTCCGGAGATTTAGTGGGGAAAGTCACGTTGGATTGGAGCGGCAACTGGTGATAGCCAGTAAGCTGGTCGTGCTCGCTTACCACTAGGGAAATAATAGAAAGCGAAAAAACTGCTAACCAGTCGACTTAAAGGACTGAGTTGATTAAAAAGTGTCTGCAGAGCCCATCTTCAGAAAACGAAAGCCAAACACGTAAATTGAAGATTGGAGTGAATCAAGCGAAGTCAGCGGTGGGAAAAAGGAGAAAATAGGACAGATGAAGGACATTGGTTCTGAGCATTTTATCCGATCTAGGAATCGAAAACAAATAAAAGTGAATAACTATATATATATATATATATATATATCCAGCACTATACCAACAACAATTCAATTGGCTGAGTGCCACAACACGTTAGAGAAAGATAACAAGTGCGCCGGTGGCCGAAAAGATTGCACTCCTGGTTTGCAATCCTTAGGTCACCGATTCCAATCTGCGTATACTCAACCTATGTGCGATCGATGGTTGCCACGTGGCAGCGAAACGTCGACAGTGTGCCGGCCTACTGCTGATGACTTACTGCGTAGGGTTCTTGGCCATATCCAGTAGCGTTTGCAACTAGATGTGCTGGCGATCCTTGGGTCCCGATTCCGGAAGCCAGCTTCGACGTTTGCGTCAGAATGCATTAAATCCAAGTTTCATATTGATCTTGTTGTCGCTTCCAGCCTACGCCTGCGTTCGAAAAGAGGCCACATCGTGGTGACCGCTGAGTAGACATGCGAAGCATGTACCCAGACCAGCGAAGTCTCCGTAGTGACATAGTGCTAACAAGCGGACGGCGGAGTTTGTCAGATTTGCCTCCCATGGATCGAATCGGTTGGAAGAGTTTGCGGGAGCTTCCTGAAGCGGCTGCATATTCCATCTCAACTATGTGGTGTCTGCCAGAACTCGCGATTCTTCCTGTAAAGCTGTCTGAGCTCAGCACCTGTGGTTCTGCGCAGTGTGTTGTACACAACTCCAGCGGGAATTGCTCGACGGGTTTCCACTCATTAGACTGTGCAAAGATCCAATGGCTAGCAGCCCGTTTAAGGAAGCCACAGACCGGGATAGCAGACTCCCGTGAGGTGCTCTGAATCTGTGGCCAGTACATCTCAACATCAGAGAAAAGAGGACGCAGGTTAGGAGCTCATGTGTTCCGAGATGCGAAGAAGACATTTGGGGTAACGAGCTTGTCTGTGTCAAGCCGTTTCCGGCGACTATGTACGGCGCCTCCAAAACGCAGAACGAACTTAGCTCACACGAGCACATGATCCGAGGTTATGTAAGTGTTCCACAATGACATGCAGTTCGTCATGCAGCCTCTCCAAGGTTAGCTGATAGACACGTGATCAAGCTGCGTCCACCTTTGACCAGGCGCCGGAGGTCACTAAATGACACGTTAGCGCCAGGAACGCCGGAAATTGGTGCCCGAAAGGGTGTTTGTGTTGTAAGTTTCTTTGTCCCTCCCCGTCCAACCACGATGTCAGCTATTAGGCATAAAATAACCTTTTTTGCGGCACAATACCGACTGCTAGCTCTTCGAAACGATGTCCATTCGTTACTGGTGACTCAGCAGGCGTGCTTCTGTACCATTTGTTCCTTTCTTTTGTATTGCAGCACAATAGCTGTGTTTTCACTTGCAGCTAACGTGTATATTGATGAATGATGATGCCCGAAAGGAACAAGCCGTAGTCGGCACACCGTTGAAGGAGGTGATCGTCCTTGTCTGTCCTGTGGTTGTGCTGACCACTAAGTTCGTGTTCATGAACCACTAGTCTACCGACGTGCGCATTTAGGTCTCCAGTGTCCGTGCGGCGTTTCTTGCGGAGGAGGTCAGTGAGTCGATGGTAAAACTCATACTTAGCTGTAACCGGGCTACAGTCCGTAGGGGGCGTACACCGCTACAATGAATAAGCAGCGCTTATTGCACTTATGGCTGGAAGATCGCGTTGAGCTTTATAATTGGACTGCATAGAGAGACAGATATTAATTGAAAACCAGTCAATGATCGCCGCCTCAGCACGTGCGCTTAACGCAACTCCTACGCCGACGCAGCCAGAGGCTGTGGCTTTTTCAACTCTAGATAAACGTAAATGTGCAACCTGAGCTTGATGATGGTAATGTTAAGCGCAGCGTTGTGCTGGAGTACAGTAAACCGGTTTCGACTAGGCAGCAGACATGGATAGAGAGTTTCCAAGGTGCGCCCAAGAACAGTTTGTGGTCCCAACTGCATAAGCGTTCAAAATCAAACGTAGCTAGCATGAATAGCGAACGGGTTGCAATAAAAGCCTAAAATGTCGAAGCTGAATTGCGTACCATCAGCCTTAAACGGCTCA